CTTCCACCTCTGTTCTTGGGTCTGAAGGCAACTGAGCGCCTCTGACTCTCCTCCCCCTCCCCCGCCCTGGGCATGGGGACCCACGATGGGCAAGTTGTGTCTGGAAGGGTAGGAGAGTTTCCCTCAGTGGGGCTTATGGGGATGGCAGGTGCTCCAGGTGCCAGAACCATCTGCCCTCATGTGGAGATTTTCCCAGCCCACCTTGCCCCATTCTGTCTCTATGGTCTGTGGCTGGAGTGGAATGGAGTAGAATGCTGGAGTAGAATGCTGCTCCTCACCATCCCTCCCCACCCCGAGGACCTCCCTGCCCCATTGTGACATTATTCCCCGGCCACTGATGGAACCCAAGAGTTCTGCTTCCAAGGGTCTGGCTGGGCCTGGATTGTGGTCAGGTGGGCCCTGGCTTTGGCGTGTGGTCCTATCTCCAGGGAGGAGGGACTGGGTGGGGGGGGTGTGGAAGGTGGCAATTATGATGACACCTGGCAATTGTGGGCCTGCGTTCTCAGCACAGATGTGGACAGGAGCCTGCTGGGGCCTGTTCAGCTATGCGAAGGCTGTGGAAGGAGCAGGCTGCCCTCACAGGAAATATGAGTTCTCAGGTATGGTATTTGGCCATTTCCTGCCCTCAGATAAAGTGCTGCTCCTGGCTTTACCTCCCTTTCCTGGGCCTCTTTTGTACACAGAACCAACTGCCTGGGGCCTGCCCACCTGGCAGGGGACCGTTGGGGTCAGCAGAGGAAACAAATGCTCCAGAGCCTTGCAGACGGGCAGGGCCCCGTGAGGGGCACACTGAAGGGGACCCGGCAGGAGAAGGCTGGTTCAGCTGGCTCCAGGCCTGAAAGCCAACTCTGCGAGGAGAGTGAAGTTCCCTATCTGGGAGGTCTCTGTATCTACTGTATCTACCGCCACCCCCTCCAGCCTTCCACGCATACACACTGTATTGGTTCCTGATTGCTGCTACAGCAAGTTACTACAAACACAGTCACTTCCCACAAATCTGTTACCTTCTAGTTCTGGAGGTCAGAAGTCCAAAATGGGTCTTACTAGGCTAAAATCAAACTGTCAGTAGGGCTGCATTCCTTTCTGGAGGCTCTAGAGGAGAATTCATTTTCTTACCTTTTCCAGCTTCTACGGGCTGCCCACTTTGCTTGGCTGCTGATCCCCTCCATCCTTAAAGCCAGCGATGGTCAAGTCCTAATGGATGTAGCTAAAGTGTATTCATTTTCATTGTTGTATTGTATTCCATTATTTAAATATACTATACTTTATCCATTGTTCTGTTAATGGGCATTTGTGCTTTTTTTTTCATAGTTGATGTGTATTATTACGAACATTTTGCTGTCCATTCCTGGATTGTATGTAAAAATGTTTCCCCAAGGTATATACCTAGAAGTAGAATTGCTGGGTCATAAGGTATGCAAATATTCAACTGTATAAGACAATGCCAGATTGGTTTTCCAAGTGGAACTAGGAATAATCCTGCCAGAAATGATGACTTGGTATTGTCAGACTTCCTAATCTCGTCAGGCAAATGAGTGTAAATATCTCATTATGGTCCTGATTTGCATTTCCCTCATTATTAAAGAAGCCGAACATTTGTTCATATGTTTGTGTGCCACAGGAATTTTCTGTTCTTGAAATGCCCATTCATATCTCTCACCCAGTTTTCTATTGTCTTTTTATTATTGATTTGTAAAGTTCTTTATTCTTGATTCTCATTTTTTCCCCCAGTAATATGTGTTTGCCAACTTATTCTCCCAGTTGTGGCTTTTTTTTTTTTTTTAATTTTAAAATTTTCATCTGCAAGTAGTCAATTTATCATTTAACAACTCTATGGTTAGCATAAAATAGCATAGCTTTTGTGTCTTGATTAAGAAATCCTCACCCAAGGGACACCTAGGTGGCTCAGTCCATTAAGGGTCTGCCTTCAACTCAGGCCATGATCCCAGGGTCCCGGGATCGAGTTCCACATTGGGCTCTTTGTTCAGTAGGGAACCTGCTTCTCCCTCTGCCCCTCCCCCCTGCTTGGGCTCTCTCTCTCTCTCTCTCTGACAGATAAATAAAATCTTTAAAAAATTCAGTAAAACATATATTCCTTATATTTTCTACTAAAAGTTTTGTTCTTGAAATTTAAGTCTTTAAGAGGGCTGGAATTTTTGTTTATGATGTGAGGCATTTTTCTTCCATTTCTGATCAGTCATGCTGTTCTCTTTTTCCTTCCAAACTTTTGTTTGCATAGATCTATTTCTGGGCTTTCTATTTAGCTATTCATGAACTGTTACCACTGTGTCTTTAATGAATGTAACTTTATAATAAATTTTGATATCTGGCAGGACAAATCATTCCTCTCTATGATTCTTCAGAATTGTCTTAGGTATTCATGCCCTTTATTTTTCCATATTTTGCATTCATCTTGAGAAATTTCACAAAAAGTACCTTTTGGATTTTGACTGGAATTCTACTGAACCTAGAGATCAATATGGGAAAGAGTTGACAATTTTTATTCATGGCCATTAGATATCTCTCCACGTATTTTGCTTTCTCAACATATTTTCGTAAGTTTTTTTTTTTTTAAAGGGGGGCAGGAAGGGGCAGAGGGAGAGTGAGAGAGAGAATCTTAAGCAGGCTCCATGCCCAGTGTGGAGCTCAATGCAGGGCTGGATCTCACAACCCTGAGATCATGACCTGAGCTGAAATCAAGGGTGGGATGCTTAACTGACTGAGTCACCCAAGCACCCCCATGTGTTCAGGCTTCTTAAGCCATTTTTTAAATTTGTGTAACAAATGAGTAGAAGATGAAATTTATTTATTTTTATTGTTATTTTTTTTTTAGAGTAAGCTCTATGGGCAATGTGGGGTTTGAGCTCACGACCCCAAGATCAAGAGTTGCATGCTGTATCAACTGAGCCAGCCAAGCACCACTGACATGCAATTTTAAAAAGCAAAATGAAACACACACACACACACACACACAAATTAGGGAAAAGTCACAAATAAATGATTCTATGGAGACAGAGTTTTTTAAAAATGCTATTCATGATTTAGTAGAATTAAGAGTTTGCTACCATGTTGTTTAACAACAATTACTTATATTGCTCATTTTCTGAGATTTCATTCCAACGAGAGCTACATATTGTTAGCTTGGTTTAATGGCTGCTGATAGCCAGACTTCCTGGAAATGGAATACATTTCCAGTTGCTATCTTAAATGAATTTTGCTTATCGTGTCATAAAATTTGGGCTCTAATGAAGCTTCTGTTATAGATGGCACACTGGATACCCTCATAATTTTCTTTTTATTCCTTTTGGTGCACATGAAGAGCCCAAAGCTGACAAGGATCCCGACACAGTAAAAGTTGGTGGCTTCATTCTAGGCCTTTTTAAGGCCGCAATCTATAGAGCCATTGGCACCCATCACCCCCTAACCTCCAGGCAGGGGAGCTGCTCACTGGGAGGCAGCAAGCGACTGGGCTGCTCCTGGCTCCTTCCCCGGAGTCAGGCCTGGTCCCACACTGCGTTCAGTTGTCTTCCTAGTCTCCTCCAACCTGGAAAAAATCAGCTTCATCTTTCATGCTTTGACACTTTTGGAAAGTACTAGCTAGTTATTTTGTAAAATGTTCCTAAATTTGTTTGGTGTTTTCTCATGATTGTATCAACATTATGCATTTTTGGCAAGAAGCGATGATATACTCTTCTTTTTTTAAAAAACTCAAAATTTGACTTTTTTTTTGAAGATTTTATTTATTTGACAGAGAACGAGCACAAGTAGGCAGAGCAGGGGGCCTAATGTGGGACTCGATCCCAGGACCCTGGTGTCATGACCTGAGCCAAAGGCAGACGCTTAACTGACTGAGCCACCCAGGTGCCCTGATATACCCTTCTTAGTGCATGGTATCAAGGGGTACCTGATGTCAACATGTCTCATTACTGGTGATTTTAACTTTGATCACTTGTTTAAGTGGTGTCTGCCAAGTTTCTTCATTATAAAGTTATTGTTTTCCCCTTTGTAATTGGTAAGTATCATATGGGGAGATACTTTGAGACTCTGCAAATACCTGTTTCTCATATGTTCATCGTCTAGTTTTGTATATCCATCAATGAGCCTTTTTTTTTTTAATTTGAGAGAGAGAGAGTGAGAGAGCACGAGAGTGGGGAGGGTCAAAGGGAGAAGCAGACTCCCTGATGAGCAGGGACCCCAATGCGGGACTCAATCCTCGGACTCCAGGATCATGACCTGAGCCGAAGGCAGTCGCTTAACCAACTGAGCCACCCAGGCACCCTCATTTTCTTTTTTTCTGAAGATTTTCACTCTCTTCTGGTTTCCTTGTTGCTTATCAACTCTTGTTTCTTAACAGAAGACTGTGAACACCTCTCATTTGTCAGTGATCTGTCTTCTCTCTAGATGTTTTTGAAGACCTTTGTCACGGATGATCTGCAGCTTTATTACAATGTGTATAGTCGTGGGTTTCTTTTTTATGGATCTTGCTTAGGATATGCTGCTTCCTGAGTCTACGGATTCATGTTTTCCAAGTTTTTAGAAAATGCATTGCTTTTATCTCTTTAAATCTCGCTTCTCCACTTCTCCCCCTGGGTCTCCAACTGGATGCATGGTAAACCTTTTATCTTCTGAGTCTCTTTGCCTTTCTCTCACATTTCGGCTGTGTGTTCCAGTGTGCTAATTCTCTGTATCAAATCTGACTCAGCTTTTTTCCCTATTAGTGTTTCCATTTCTTCTAGAAGTTCAGTATCTTCCCTCCAAAAACGTCTTTTTGCCCCTTCTTGTCATTAGTTCATCATGTAATTACGACTTTTGGGTCTTTGAAAAGTTTGTATGATAGTGGTTCTAGAAACTCTGCATCTGACAGTTCCAACACTTGCAGTCAGGAGCTGTTGGTTCTTGTTTCTGTTGACTCAGAATGGATTGCCTTCTCACAACTTTCAGAACCTTTCATTTTGAACTCTTTGCTTGATCTGCTTAATATCCTTCTAGTCAGTATTGCTATGTCCTTCCCCACCTCCCCTCTACCGGCCTTTCCAGTTAAGCTCTATGATGCTCTACGCCACTCTACCATTTTGGTACCCCAGGCCTGGCTCCCGACTTCTGTGGTCACCTGGCTACTCCTGATCCAGATATTCGGGGGCGGGGGGGGGCGCGTTGTTTGTTTTTTTGAATTTCCCCTGGAGATCTCTCCTACCTTTTGCAAGACTAGCAGCGCCTGCCTGTCTGTGTAACCAAAGTTTCAGTTGTGGGGAAGCTGTGGGAGAGAAAGCTCCTCGGAACTTATTCATGACACCGGAAGCATAGCATTTTCTAAAACATTTACAAAATCCTAAATGCCCTGAAAATCAGGGGTGGGGGGGGCCCACGGGGAACAAATTATGTTAAGTAAGAAACTTCAGAAGCGAAGGAGGGAACTACAGAGAACGTCAAGGCTGGAATCCAAACTTCTGGTTAGTGGCTCCCAGGCCAGTCTCTGATGTCTGAGAAGTGGTGTCAGCAGAGACTGAGCTGCATCCTTTCTTTGAACAGGTGGCAACAGAAAGCAACGGGGGCAAAATAAAGTGCAGATCCCACTATCCATCCACAAAGTTGAACCAGCTTGAGGCACCAGAACACACCCAGTCCCTGTCTCTGGAGATGCTGTTACGCAGGTTGAGGGCCACGGAAGCCCAGCAGGATGACAAGTTTGCCAACATCCTGGATGTGGTGGGGGAGTTTGGCACATTCCAGAAGAGGCTGGTGGCCCTCACCTTCATCCCCAACATCCTGTTGGCCTTCTTCATGTTTGCTGACATCTTCGTGTTCACAGCCCAGAAGCCTTATTGCAATACCAGCTGGATACTGGCAGTGGACCCCAACCTGTCAGAGGCTCAGCAGTTGAATCTGACCCTGCCCCGAGAACCCAATGGCAGTTTCCAGACATGCCTCATGTACTTGCCTGTGGCCTGGGATCTGGAATCTATTATCCAATTTGGCCTCAACTACACAGAGCCATGCCAAGATGGGTGGATCTATCCTGAGACCAAGAAGCGATCGCTGGTCAATGAGGTGTGCCTTCCCCTGAGTTGTCTATAGCTACCCCACAGCCCCAGAGACGTGCCCTCACCCTCACTGAACAGGTGGGGAAACTGAGGCTCAGGGAGGTGAAGCAACTGGTCCAAGGTGACCTTGAAGAGGCAGAGCCATGGCAGAAATGTAGGATCCCAGTTGTCTAGGCCTGACCTCACCTGTCTTAGCCAGGAAGCTAGAAGACTTGAGTGTTGAGGCAAATGTCAGCAGGCAGGCTTTGCCAACTGTCTAGGGAATTGCTCCGTAGTTGTTGCTCTGCTCTCTGAACTCACACAAGATAGAGAACTGGGGAAAGAAGCAGCTTTGATCAGGTACCTCTTACAGGGTTTCTCAGCCAGGGCTGTAACCTGGGCCCTTCACCGCACAGACCTGCCCAATTTGAATCTCTAGGCTGGGGCCTGACATCTGTATTTGGGAAAGGGTCTTCAGTGATTCCAGACTTTGCTCAGTTACATTTTTACCTATTCCCCATTTTGGCCTAGGCCTCTGGTCCCCTCTCTCCAGACCTCACTCCCAGGGTCTGCCAGACGCAGGATGGGCACACGCACAGCTGCCTGTCCCTGTCCCAGGCCCCTTCTGCCTAAAGGTCCACCCTGGGTAGGGGGTGGTGGTAGTGGTGGAGGGGTGTAGGCTCAGTCCCTGGACCCAGAAGGCTGACCCTGGGTAGAGGCCTGTAGCCAATCCTGCGTAAAACCCCCAGTTTGACTTGGTGTGTGGCAAGGACCAGGACACGGAAGGCGTGCAGACCATGCTCACGGCTGGCCTCCTAATAGGGTCCCTCATCTTTGGGTTCGTAAGTGACAAGTGAGTGTCCCGGAGTTCCCTCTGGTCCCTGGAAGCCCCTGCCTCCTCCTCGTGGGCATTCAGAGCTAGAGTCTCAAGCTGGGGGAGGCGAGGGTAGGGGCATTCTGGAGGCCTACGCACGGCTCAGGACCGGCCCCGAGTGTCGGGCCGGGCCAGCCACGGAGGTCCGCGCGCTTGGCGCAGCCTGCCTTGGACGCCCGCAGGCTGGGCCGCTACCCCACCATCCTGATGTCGCTGCTGGGGCTGGCCATCTTCGGCTTCGGGGCAGCCTTCGTCAACAGCTTTCACCAGTACCTGTTCTTCCGCTTCGGCGTGTCCCAGGCCTTGGTGGGCTACGCCATCAGCAGCGTGTGTTTAGGTGAGGCCCAGCCGCCGGGAGCCGGGTGGGGGAGGCGGGAGGCGTGGCGCGGGCGGGGCCGGAGGCGCTCAGGGGGCAGGGCCTCGGGGGTGCACCGCGGGGGCGGGGCGAGCGTGGGGGCGGGGCTGGCGCGTACCTACGGGGAGCCCGCAGGCCTAATAGGGTTGCGGCCCAATCGAGGCTGGCAGTGGAGGGAGCTTCCCCTCGGATCGTCCTGGAGATGCCGGAGAGTCTGTGCTCAGACTGCCTTCCACCCTCATCCTCCATCCTAGCCCCCTCGTACCCCGCAGGTATCCCCGTCATACCTCTGGCTTCCCCCCCACATGGCTTATATTTACTGAGACCTTCAGAAGGCCCGGGCCAGCTGGTAAACCCTTTACATCTATGTCATTTCATCGTGACGTACTCTTCTATTATCCCTTTAGCAGAGAAGGATACTTGAGCCTCAGGAAGTTAACCAACTTGCTCAGGGCCACACAACAGTTACATGGAGGAGTTGGGATTTCATTCCAGGCCTGTGGGACTCGAAAGCCCCAAGTGCCCGTACACTCATTCAGCTTACAGCTGCCATGGCCTGGTGAGCTCAGGGTTCCCTGGCAAGAGACCTCTGCTCCTTGGAGCTTGTCCGAGGGACTGGCTTCTTCACACAGCCCTAGGCCTAGGTTGCCAAAGCCCTGAGGCATTAAGAACAAAGATAAGGACACAGACTCCTTGCCTCACCACATGTCAGGCCACCTGTGAGGAGTCGTGCGCAGAAATGGGCCATCTCTTCGAGAGAGATGCGTGGTCAGGCAGGAGGTGTTGAGAGGGAGCAGTTAGGCCGAGAAGGGACTGGAGGCTCTATGTGCAATTGGAAGTTCAGGCAAGGGGCCTAGGGTGTGTCCTGGGGGCACAGAGGCACCCTGCTTGGCTTTGAAGTACTGTTGAAACTTCACCCAGGTTGAACTGTCCCAAGCAGGGCTGGAGCATCTCAGAAGGTTGGGTGCCGGGGTAGCCCCAGGGATCCTGAGCTGACCATGATTTTGTCCTCTTGGCCTCTGCACAGCCACTGAGTGGCTAATGGGCCAGCACCGGGCCCACGCCATCATCCTGGAACACTGCTTTTTCTCTGTGGGAATCCTGCTTCTGACCGGGCTTGCCTACAGCCTTCCCCACTGGCGGTTGCTGTTTCTGGTGGGTGGGGCACCTGTGTTCCTCCTCATCTCCTACATCTGGTGAGCAAACGGGACGTGCGCAGTGACAGGTCTGATGGGCTGGAAGTTGAGGGTTGGAGGGTCCTTGAAGGGGTGGAGTGGGTGGAATTTTCCCTTGGAGAAAATGCACGTGGATGAAATGAGAAAGAGCCCAGGGCAGAGCCTCTGGAACCCTAACATTAATCCCCATCAGAGGAGACGCTCAAAGAGATGTCAGAGAAGTAGTCAGAAAAATCAGAAGGCAAAGTGTTGAAAGGCAGGGTTGAAGGCAAGAAAGGTGATGCTGGGGAAGAGTCCCCTGGCCTTGGGGACCTTGGAGGTGGCTTCAGTGGAGTGGCAGGGGTTTGAAGAAGGAGAAGGGGCAGAGAAATGGAGCCTTCCAGGAGACGACTGTTGCCACAGTGCTGGGCTGAGGTGGGCAGGGGAAAGCGATGAAGTGGTTGGGCAGCCAAGACAGCCAGGGAAGGGTATGTGGTGTTCTGAACGGTGGGGAGTCAAAGACAGGAACCCGAGACCCCCAGGCTAGGAAGGGACACGTGTGATGAGAGAGGGAGGGAAGAGAAGGCCCAGAGACAGTGGGAGGAGGAGACAGAAATCACCTGGTTAAGGTGTGGAGAAAGGATCGGGTTTCACTTCGACATCATCATGTTTAATCTTTTCAACTCTGGAGGAAGGATGTGAGTCTCATGTCCTGGGGGCTGAAGGGGTCGGGGTGAGAGGAGAACTGAAGCTTCAGAGGATCAAAATAACTTGCCCAAGGCCACACAGCTACAGAGTGGCAGACCTGGGATTTGACTCAGCCTCTGTGGCTCTGAATTTTACCCACTGCACCATACGCCACACGGATTTAAGAGGTGGAGTTACCAGTTAAGAGGGAGGGCATGTAGGTGGCTTGGAGACCTTCCAAATTCCAAGGTTGGCGACCATCTTTGGCGGTCATTGACATTCCCAAGTGTGTCCTGGGGCCAGCTGATGCCAGGTGGCATGACTCTCTCCTGGGAGCTAGGAAATAGTGTTTCATGGCTTGACATTAAAACATTTTTAAAAAGCAATAGACGCATGTGGTTAAAGACTAAGTAATACCAAAAGGTTTGTGGTGAAAAATAAGTCAAAAATTTCAGCTCCCCTCAGCTCCCCCAGTTCCTTCCCCAGAAGCTGTCACACTGTGGACTCTTAGCTCTTTCTTCTGGTAGATGCCTGCATAGTTCTGTGTTCTGTGAGTAGACGGCTCCTTGAATGGGGCACATTTTTCTTCAGACATGTCCTGTCAGCTGTTCCTTCCCTGACACTTGACAATATCTTGGGCAGGTTCCATCTCTTCACAGTCAATTCGTTTTTCTTTTTTTTTTCAAAAATTTTATTTATTGGGGTGCCTGGGTGGCTCAGGTTGGTTAAGCGTCTGCCTTCTGCTCAGGTCATGATCTCAGGGTCCTGGGATCAAGTCCCTCGTCGGGCTCCTAGCTCGGCAGGGAACCTGCTTCTCCCTCTCCCTGCCCATCCCCCTGCTTATGCTCGCTCTCTCACTCTGACAAATAGTAAAATCTTTAAAAAAAATAAAGTTTAAAAAAAAATTTTACTTACTTTAGAAAGAGAGAGCAAGCGAGTGGGGGGAGGGGCAGAGGGGAGAGAGAATCTCAAGCGAGTCTGTGCTGAGCCCAACGCGGGGTTTGATCCCAGGACCCCAAGATCATGACCTGAACTGAAATCAAGAGTCGGATGCTTAACCGACTGAGCCAGTCAGGCGCCCCCTCTTTTTTTTTTTTTTAAATTCTTTATTGTTATGTTAATCGCCATACATTACATCATTAGTTTTTGATGTAGTGTTCCATGATTCATTGTTTGTGTATAACACCCAGTGCTCCATGCAGAGGCGCCCCCTCTTTACAGTCATTCTTAATTGTAAGAAAAAATCTCATTTTAGTCATTCAGACTCACTTTGAGGCATTAAAAAATCCAGTCTAGTTCAATTTAAAACTTGATCTTACATCTAGTTCACAGCTTCTCCCTGGTGGCTAACCAGCTCAGGCTAGTGTTCTGACCTTTGCCCTTCCTCCTTTGTCTACCTGCTCTGACCTTCCAGGTCCTAGGCAGGGGATAGAGCATCAGAGAAAAGAGACAAGTGTGCAACAGGGGCTGTTATGGGTGGTCAGTGTCCTCTGTAGGGCAGATGTTCGGAGGCAGGTGCCTTCGGGGCCCATGTGTGGGTCTTCAGGGGTCCACTGGTGTTTCCTAATGCTCCAGGCACTGTCTTTATGAGTTCGATTAACACTCTGTCTCTGGCAATTCACCCATAGCCTCTTTCTGCAGAGGTCTCCTTGCCTTAGCACATGGGGTGACTTCAACATAGCAAGGTCCACTTGGCCAAAAAGACTCTCACCATCCCCTTCCCCAGCCTGCCATTGTGCCTTTCTCCCACCAACTTCCTGTCTGATCGTATCCAGGTGAAGGGGGGGTCCCCCATCTCTGGGTTTGCATAGGCCCTCCAACTTGAGGGCATGTGAATGAACTCTCCTTGAAAATGACTGCCTGCAGTACAAGGTAGCCCCCTCATTTCTGAATCAGTAAGCTCCAGGCAAAGAGTGGGAGGGCAGACTCCCTTACTCAAAGGTGGTCCCCTTCACCAGGCTTGAATAGATGAAAGCAACCTGGGGAAGGGAAGAGAGTCTCACTGCCACGAACTGGAAATTTCCAGCCTCTCTCGGTGGCTGGGGGAGGTGGCTGCTGGGCTGTTTTGTATTTTTATTATTATTATTGTTTTAAAGATTTTATTTATTTATTTATTTATTTATTTATTTGAGAGCGAGCACAAGCAGAGGAGCAGCAGAGGGAGAGGGAGAAGCAGTCTCCCTGCTGAGCAGGGAGCCCGACGTGGGGCTCGATCCCAGGACCCTGGGATCATGATCTGAGCCGAAGGCAGACGCTTAACCGACTGAGCCACCCAGGCGCCCCTTATTATTATTTTTAGTGAATCCTGTCCTGAATGTGGTAACATCTCTCTTTAGAATGTGAGGTTATCAGTCATTGTTTAATGGCCTTGGGACATCAGCTGAAATTCTAAGACAAAAGTTTCCATGTCATGTTCAGTTACACTGCTCTTCCTCATTCTCTGATTTTATTATTTTCTCAATAGCATTTGAAACTTGTATTATGAAAATAGAATTGCAAAACATTCTCAAATCTTTTGGGGATACAAGTTAGAATTTTCTTTTTTTCCCTCCTGCTCCCTACATTACCTGTGTCCTCTGGGGTAATTTTTTTTTTCCTGCTTGGTTGTTTTGGCCCCTTTTTCATTGAGAGGTTGGTTTTTTTTTTTTTTTCAACATTTGGTGATTTTTGGTCATCCCTTCATCGTTAAGAGTAAGTTACTTAGATGTTAATGGGAAACGGTGAACAGAAGCTTATTGCCTGGCAATCTTGGAGGGCAATGCCTCTCAAATTTCCACGAACAGCAGAGTCCAATCACATGGGGGCTGGTTAAAACATCAGTGACTGGGCCCTGCCCCCAGAGCGTCTCAATCAGCAGGACTGGGGTGGGGCCCAAGAATCTGCATTTCTAACAAGCTCCCAGGAGATGCTGATGCTGCTGGTCTGCTGACCACACTTCGAGAACCACTACCACTGGGTGACCAAATGGCAGGTGCCTTTTTTTTGAGGGATCCCAAAGTCAGGGCGTTGCCTGGCTCAGGTTGCTTTGTTCCCCAGTGGGCTGGGAGCGGGGACTCTTGTCACCATCACGGGGACTTCCACTCTGTTCGCCTGTGTTTGTCCTCAGCCTGCTCTGGGCTCTGGGTGCAAACCTCAGAGGAAACCGGAGTCCCGTATCTGAGGACTAGGGTGTTCAGGGTCCCCTTGCTACATGTCGGGCCTTGCCGCGTGGCCACCGGCCTGGCTCCATCCACTTCCGGGCTATGTGTATGTTTGTTAAATCTTTCTTCCACCCGTCCTCTCTCCCACTCTCTTTGTTGAGATCCTTTTTCTTTCCTCTAGTTTAGAGTGGGCACATGCTCAATCTCCCATCTTTTCGAAGAAGTCCCAGTTGGGTGACTTTCTTTAGGAGAGTTCCCCAGCCTTGCTGTGGAGAAGGATGGCAGGGGGACTGTCTGATGGCCCCTAGTGGAGGGCAGGAGCTGGGGCAGGCAGAGAGAATGAAGTGGCCCCTAATGTCAAGGGCATGTGTTTACACGGCTGGCCATGGAGTTCAGGCCGGGGCCAGGATTGGGGTGGGGGGGGGTGGGGGGCAAGAAGTCAGCAGGGCTGATGGCATAGTTTGTAAAGAGTGCCTAATCAGGGCCCTGAGGTCCATACCAGCTCTGCCTCTGTGACCTTGGGCAAACCCTTACCCCCTGAGGCTGGGAATAAAATGGGGATAATCATACTAGGTCCAGGGTTGGGCAGGGATTAAACTGGTTGATTTATATGTAAGAGCACCAAGCACATTCCCGGGCACCTCATAAGGGCTTTAAATGTTCACCTGTGTGGATTCTGGCAGCCTGGGAAGATCAGGAAGAACAGAGGGACCAGAGTTATTCCAAGGTCAAAGGCAGTGGGCAATGTGGCAGGGGAGAGGGTGGGACAGAGGGGACGTCTATTCACCCAGGCAGGGGCTAGGCCCTGGGGTCCCCCCATATCCTCCAGGCTTTTAGGAGACAGAGAAGGACCAGGAGAAATGCCGACCATGAGAATGGGTTCCTAACAGAGGGTGTGGGCATTGGTGCCCTCAGCGTGTCTGGGCAGGTGGGGCCGAGCCCTGAGACAGAAAGGTAGAGAGTGTGTGGAGGTGGTGGAGGGGGAGAAGCTGTACGGCAGAGGCAGCTACGGCCTGGGGTGACGCTGAGCAGCAGTGGGGGCTGTGTGTGGCCTGGGGAAGGGCTGACCACCAGCAAGGGGCAGAGGCACCTTGAGGTGGAGGGTCACATTCAAGGCCTCCAACATCCACATCACCTCACGTTGGTGGTCTCTGGGACATCTTAGAAGGATGGCTAAGAGTGGGTGGGCCATGCAGGATCGTGCCGGAGTCCCCGCGGTGGCTGCTGATGAAAGGGAAGCTAGAGGACGCCAAGCAGGTGCTGGGCTATGCGGCCAGTGTGAACAAGAAGATCATTCCCTTAAGTCTGCTGGACAAGGTAAGAGGCCTCGGCCTGGAGCGGGGCCTGGGCAGGGGCTGTGGAGGAGTCTCTTCCTTCCTCGGGGGACCTCTGCCCAGAGGCTGTCCCCAGTCCACCACTCGAGGAGAATGGTGACAGCAAAATCGAACCCTGCCAGCAGAAGGCCAGAGAACAAGCTGGCCCTGGGACGGGCGGGGCGGGGGGGCGATTTGAGGTCCTGTGGGGGTGGGGAGCAAGCTGGGGTCTCAGTCTGGCCTCTGGCTGGTCCTGCTTGTCCTGTAGCTGCAGCGGCCTGGAAAGAAGGTGACTAAGGCCTCTGTCCTGGACTTCTATAACAATAAGCACTTCCTCAAGGTGACCTTGGTGATGGGTTGTGTGTGGTGAGTACCGGGGACTGGCTGGGCCGGGACTGCAAGCGGAACCTGCCAGAAGCTCTGGTGAGAGAATGGGCAGGCTGCAGCGGGGCAAGGCCTAAGGATGCTGGCTTGGCTACGGGTCCAGAGCTCTGTGCTTATTTCTGCTCCCCATCCCCACCCTGCTCTGCTTGTCTCTGCCTCTGCCTTTATTCCTGCCCTGTATGCTGTATCTCTGCCCCCCTCCCCTCTCTCTCTGAGTGTCTCTCTCCTGGCTTCATTTCAGGTTTACTGTGGGTTACAGCTATTTCACGCTGAGCCTCAAGTTGAAGAATTTGGGCGTGGACCTCCACTTCACACAAGTGATTCCTGGCATCATGGAGGTGCCCGCCCGCCTCTGCTGCATCTTTCTCCTTGAGCAGATGGGGAGGAAGTGGAGCCTGATTGCGACTCTCTTCCAAGGCTCCCTTATGTGCTTGCTTGTTCTTATCCTCCCCTCAGGTACGCCTCACCCTCCCCTCGGCGCCACTCCACCCCCCCCCACCCCCGGCCTTCCTGCTTCCTTAGACCCCTTCCTCCTGCCCTGTTTGGCCAATAAGACACCCTGGGAGTCAGCCGGGGCACCCATGGCCCTCCTGCCCTCCTGAGCTGGTGCCAGTCACTGGAACACTGCCCTCCTCAAGGGAGAGTCCCAAGACCGGGCGCTGGAAGCTCTCAGAAACCCGGTAGAGGAGGGGGTGCTGTCCCGAGGAATCCTCCTTGTGTGTGGGGGGCAGTGGGTGGCCTTCTTCCAGCCCATGTCAGATCTGATGGTTGAATGTGAACAGATGCCCAGAGATAGTCCTTCAACTGGTACCCCAGGCCCTGCCTCTCATTGATAGCCTCTGACTGGGAAATGCCTGTTATCTGGATCTTCAGCAGGAAAAAATAACCTGAGTGTAACAGGGGGCTAAGCTCTTAGGAACATTCTTACAAGGGAGGCCTCTCCTTCGCAGGAGGGCACAGTACCCTTCAGCTCAGAACTAGACAAGCCAACTGGGGGTGGGGGTGTGAAGGCGCAGCAATATTTTCAAAATTGCAAAGATCCCTGGGATGATGAATATGCCCCAGGTCACAGGGCTAGAGAATGGCCGGCTGAGGACGTGGACATTAAGATGTCAGTGCTCTCTCCGTCAGAACTGCTGACCACGAGAGCCCCCTCGGCTGCTGGGGCCAGGGCAGGGAAGCCACGTCCGGGGTCTGCCTCCAGGGGAGCCCTCCTGTTCTCTGGGGGCTAGAATTATGTGTGTCTTGCCTGGGACCCTTCCTCTCCCAGATGCTGGCCGTGTGGACCGGCTAAAACAAAATGGGGCAACAAACGCGTTCTTAAATTGCTGTTGCTTGGTAGCTTTTGTAAAAAGTGGGCCTATACAGAGTCAAACAGAAATGTTTAAAACTCTCAAATGTGTGAGAGAAACTAGTAGAATCCCCAACAGATAAAGCTAGATCTCCAGGTTCATCCCAGAGCCAAGAGAAGCTGGGGCCAGAGTGGGGAGTGGGGCAGCGGCGGGCTGGCAGAGGCTCATGGAGGAAGGGCTGCAAGAGGCCAGCTCCCGGGCAGTGAGCGCCAAGCCAGAGGAATGGGCTTTCCTGGATCTTTTCTTCCTCCTCTTCCTCCCTCAATGCGCACGTCTGGCTGCCCAGCATTGGGGATCCTGGCTCTAGGGACCGAACACTCCCGAGCCCCCGTGCACAGTTCTCTGCTTCCTCCACCTTGCGGAGGATGGGAGGGAAGGTGGGAGGGCCCTGAGCAGGCCACGGGGTAGGGGAAGCTGCCTCAGGTGAGGATGTGGAAGACAAGAATGAGCCTGGAGGCAGAGGTGTGCGGGCTGAGAGGCCATGGGGTGAGCAACTCTGCCACTGCAGTTATATTAACTTCTGGCCTGGCTGGGCCTGAGTCTGCTGACCAGCTGACCAGGTCCGAGGACGAGAGTGGGGGCCAGTGGGGGGGGAAACTGCTCAGATGCCTTCCAGGAGGGATGGAAGGAGAGCAGATGGGTGGCCCCCCATCCCCCACCCCAGACTCAGGGGGCCACGTTGTCTGGCCACAGAGTTGAAATCCATGATAATCTTGATGGTCGTGCTTGGAGAGTTCAGCCTGGCAGCCTCGGTCTCTGTGTTCTTCATCTACACCGCGGAGCTCCTGCCCACTGTCCTCAGGTAGGTGGCCTGGCCGGCCAGGCCGTGGGGGCTTGGCAAGGGTGCGGGACCCAGACGCTCCCGGCAGTGAGAGTGGCCGAGCACCTGGTGACAGGCACGCGCTGAGTGGTTTCCCTGGATCACCCCATTACTCCCCCAAACTTCGTCGTTAGCCCTATCTCAGACAACAGAGTCAGGTGGAGGCCCGACCGCAGTTGGCAGAACCGGGCAGTCTGAGCGTGGTCTCGGCCTTGCACTGCGCGGGCCTGAATGTGTCTGGGCTGCTCTGAGGTTCGGCTGCAGCTTCGTTGGGGCGGGGGGAAGGGGGCGAAGCCCTTGGTCAGGGTGGCGGCTCCCCCTCCCCACCCAGCTCCACTGCCCTGTCTTCTCCCACGCACCCACCCGCCCCCTGGCTTTCGCTTCTCCTGCTCCTGATCCATGGAGCAGGCCCCCAAGAAATAACCACCCGCCCTGGATCGGGGGGAGCCAAATGCTCCGTGGGCGCTTGGTGAGTTGGGACAGGCTGGAGACTTGAGCATGTGAGGTTTGGGGAGCAGCTGCTTCTACCCCACCTCCGCCCAGCCTCTGGGCCCAGGAGGCCTCCTAGATGAGCTCTCACCTCCCCTTCCAGGGCGACAGGTCTGGGGCTGGTGTCTCTGGCCTGGGCAGGTGGAACCATCTCATCCCTGGCGGTCAGCCAGCAGAAACTCACCCTCCTACCCATATTTCTCTGCTGCATCTCAGCCGCCCTGGCCTTGTTCCTCTGCTCCCTGCTACCGGAAACACAAGATCAGGCTCTCCCTGATAACCCGGAGCACTGCTTCCTGCAGACAAGGTAGGTGGGCGAGGCCCCTGGCCCTGGTCCCTGAGAGTATGTCGGGCACCGTCCACCCCTGCCTGTTGGCCAGAGGGGCCTGTGACACCAGGGCCACTCTGTGTCTACAGCAGTCTCCCCAGCTCTCCGGGATGTCACCACCTAGCCCCGCCCTGCCGCCTGGCCTCCGCCAGCTTCTGTCCTTTCGGCTCTCCTGACCAGCCTGGGCCAGGCGTTCTCCTTTCCTCCCCCTCTGGCTGCTTGTCTGGCCTGGGTGCTGCCCCTGGAGATGGCCTGGGCTCTCTCCCTCCCAGGGCACAGGGTCTGGCTGGGGACCAGCTCTCCGAGTACTGCTCCTTTCCTAGCTGAACTCTTAGCTTCTCAAAGAGGACCCAGTCTTGATTCAAGGCTCTGACCTCAAGGCTCCAGCAGCCCAGTGCCCGTTTGGGAACTGGGCTCCGCCCCGACCGCTGTATAGGCACTTCTGGCCTCATGATTGGCAGAACCGTGCCTTCTGGGGTTTGGGCCAACATGGCCCCTCGCTCTCTCCCTAGACCTGAGGGGACCCGAGCACCAGTGAGAGGCAGAGGCTACCTGATGTCCTCCACTGCCCTGTGCTCATAGCACAGGGTGGCTGCCTCTGGCCATCCCCTGCCCTCCTCCCCACTGCCCTTCTCCTCTTTCCCTCCCTCCTCAAACTCTGACACCATCTGTGCTAGGCATTGTACCAGGGCTGGACTGGCAGGTCTCCAGTCTTCAGTGATAGTTTATGGGGAGAAAGACGTGCTGACAGTTTTCCCTTAATGGGCTCTGAGGGAGGGATGCACGGGACCTACAGAAGGCCCCGGAGGGAGGAACTTTAGTTTGGGGAGTTGGGGCAGGCTTCATAGAGGAAGTGACATTGGGGGAGGGCTTTGAAGGATGAAGAAGCATTTGCCCCATCGTAGGGAGGGGGAATGCAATGCAGCAGAATCGCTAAGAACACACACTCTGGAGCCGGGGGGGCCCTCACTTCTGTCTCTGCTACCACTTCCTACCATGTGCCCAGGGGAGTTACCTAATGCCTCAGAGACTCAGTTGCTTCATTTGCAAAATGGAATGATAACAGAGTTATAAAAATAGCTAACATTTACTGAACCTTTACCGTGTGTCAAGTCCTGTTCCATACGTGCCTTTTCATACATTGTCCTAACAACAGCCACGTGCAAGATAGGTCCTGTCACTACCCATTTTACAGATGAAGAAACTGAGGCGTAGAGAAGCAGAGACATGTAGCCTAGCCTTTCTCTGTCATGGGGCTTTGGGCAGGATTAAGCCCACATAACGCGCGTGGCGCAGAGTCTGGCATGCGGCAAGTGCTCAGTAAATGCTAGAGATGGACCCCCAAAGATGCAGGAGCGTGAAGGGTCTGGATACGGTTGGGAGATGGCACACATCCGGTCCTGGAGGTGAGGGTCCCTCATGGGTGCGTGACAAAGCCCCATCTCTCAGGACTGCAGAGCCAGGCTTGGCTACAGCTGCCTCAGAGGTACTGCTTTTCTTAGCTCCTCAAGATGCAGCTCATGATTTGTTCTCCAATGGCTTCTTCAGGAACATGGCTGAGGACCCGTTCACCAAGGATGTAGTATCTGGTGATGGGACTGCGGAAGTGATGAAGAACACCAGTCTCAATTCCACGATGCTGAAATCGGACTTGGACATTCATCTTGGCAGAATGCATCTTTGCATGGCAAGGGAAAGGAAACAGACCCACGGAATGACTGAACCCCAGGCCCCCAGATGATCTCGGTGGGAGCTGAGTGGCTGGGTGTGGGGCTGTGCACTCCAGGCCACGAATTCCAGGCCCAATCCAGCTTGGGGGTAGGTCAGTCCTGCTCCAAGGCCAGCCCTCGAGATCCAAAAATGGCCCCTCCTGGGCGAGCTAGGGTGTGATTCATTCTAGTAAAGGCACCATGTTGGACTTGAGATGGCGAGGTCAAAATTGGCTGTGTGTGGAGAGCCCAAAGACCCAGGCCCGGAGGAGGATGGGTCGAACAGGCTCCCTAGAGTCCTTTCTGTCCTTAGCTAACCTTGGGGACAGCAAGGGGCTCTCTGGGTGGGGGACAGGGTGATGGCTGTGTCTGTGAGGGCTGGGAGTGAGCAAGGGCAGGACTGTGCCCGCACCACCCACATCTTCTAGCCCAGGCGTCTGCTAGCACGGGTGGGCTTCCAGCTCATGTGCAAGCTGACATAGACTTCAGCCCCGCCATATGCACCTGTCACGGGTGGAATGTAAAGGAGTAATGACGACTTTTCCCACTTGTACCATTGCACAGAGCTTTCTCACTCACTTTTCCCTTTGACACTCACAAATAAGCATGGCCTTGGGGATTACCCACCTCAGCCTCATCTTTCGGGTTCCTTCCCTGATGGCTCCAGCCTGGCTCACCTCTGACCTCCACCACCCTGAGGATAAGTCCCTACATCCAGCTCACAGTTCCCACTACCCTGTTGTGGGGCCTTGCCCAAATAGGATCCAGGGCTCCTCAACAATTAGCCAGACCCAGAAACCTTTAGGTCAGGCCCTGGGCCCCACATCCTCTCTCCAGGGGAGTGCAGGGCCCTGAGGGCAGAGCCTGGTCCTTCTCCTCTCTCTGCTCAGTTTCTTGGAAGATCACCAGCTTGCAGGGAGGAGCTAACTCCCTGGAGCTTTGGAGAAAAGGACAGAAAAGAGTGCCCAGCCTCATGGAGCAAGGGCAGCAAGGGCTGCTCTCGTGGACAGGGTTGGAGGGCAGTGCACAGCGACAGCTCCTAGCACCTGGTCTGAGCACACTGCTCTGGGGGAGTGTTCCCAAGCTTCGGCACAGCAAGAAGCTGGTGCCCACGCCTTCTCCTGCCCAGATCATTTTCCCTGTCCCTCGGTTTCTTACCGAATTTCCCACGATTGCTTCCCAAGTGGGGTTTGAAGTTCCCAGAAAAAGGGGTCTCACAAGTTATCTGCTTATGGGACAACAGGATGTTTTAAAGGCCTCCCCTGCTCTTTCTGGGGGGGCGGCGTTTGAGACTTGGGGCTGGTATCCATGGGGCCAGGTCTCCCCCTGAGGCCAGCACCCGAGCCGCCTTCTGAGCTGCTTCCACCCTGCTTTCGGCTTGCGGGCACTCTGTACATTTCGAGCGGCATCCCTGTGGGGTTGGGGTTAGAGGCTGACAGTGTAAGAGGCTGGGTCCCATGTGTAGGTCGCTGCCTGGGCAGTGGGAGAAATGGCCGAGCAGCTGAGAGATGCAGAAATGACTTTGCTGGGAGGATTCAGCCAGTGCTTCAGGGAACAGGAGGAGGAGCTGGGTCGGGACAGAAGGGACAGGCAGTGCTGGTGTGATGGAGCTGGTGGCCTCAGGTGTGGCTGTGGGCAAGACCCAGCGTACTCCTAAGTGACTTAGGTCTCCCGTGGGTTGCCAGGATTTGTCCGTCAGTTCCAGATAAACCTATCTCGTTTATTATAGCCATCTCAATGGCTCATGTGACTCAGAGTTTGACATTATGTATTTTAACCGACTAGACCCATGCTGTCTCACCCAATAGCCACTAGCCAAACATGGCTGTGGAGGGCTTGGAATGTGGATAGTCACAATTAAGATAATGCCGTGAGTGTAAAAAACGATTTGGAAAATTTAGCACAAATACTCATCAGTATTTTTATATTGGTCATGTGTAAAAATGATAAGATTTTAGATAAATGGAGTGGATAAAATATTAAAATTAATTGCACCTTTTTTAAAAAAAACTTTTTAATCGCAGAAAATTTAAAACTACACATGACTTGCATTTGCGGGTCCACGTTATATTTCTATTAGCACTAAACTAGAACCTTGTTTTTATTGGTCTCCCACATCATTCTTTTTTTTTTTTAAAGATTTTATTTATTTGACAGAGAGAGACACAGCGAGAAAGGGAACACAAGCAGGGGGAGTGGGAGAGGGAGAAGCAGGCTTCCCGCAGAGTGGAGAGCCCAATGTGGGGCGTGGTCGCAGGACCCTGGGATCATGACCTGAGCTGAAGGCAGACACTTAATGACTGAGCCACCCAGGTGCCCCCCTCCCACATCATTCTTGTCACATGGGTTTCTTAATGAAATATTGAAAATTAAATGCCAAAATTGCAGGAAGCTGCACACTGCATGATCCTACGAATCTGGTGTCTTTATGATATAATTGATCTGTAGCAAACACGTCAGCCAAGGTGTCCCTGTGTGACCTGCAAACTTGTGAGGCCTGTGACTCATGGGGCTCTTGGTACCCTAGTCATGATCACTGGCTTATGTGGAACTCTGTCGCCTGCATCTCTTAGGGCTTTCTAGGGAAGATGTATCTCACCCAAGATAAATTTGTAAGTAAAAATTACTTACAGGAGCACAGGAGGAAACAAGCTGGTGTGAAACAGAAGCAATAAACAGGAGGATTTAACATCAGTGTGCCATCCAGAGGGGGGTAGGGCTCTCTGAAAAGGCTTGACATTTGCTGAAATTGTTCAAAGAGATGAAGCAACCTAACTCCTAAGACACTCACTTGGAAAATGACTCCATAAAGCCTTGAAATGAATGATGTAGCAACTGAAGTTGGAAAACACAACAGAGAAGTGAAATTAGAATAGATACAACTGAAGAAAGAGTGAATTGTTGAATATTCTTTGTGGGTTGTTTCCTTTCTTGTTAAATAGCATCCCTCATCTCTACTGATACTTTTTGCCATCAATTCTAGTTTGCCTGAAATTACATTTACTCCAATCTTAAAAGCCTCATTGAATAACATGCAGAGAAGTGCATAAATCAGTTAATGTTCCATTTTATGAGTTATCACAAGGCACTTGGTATCCATCACCCACATGGCGGAGAAGATTAATAGCACCTCAAGGTTCCCTCCTGACTCTCCCATTTGCCACCTTCCCTTCGTCCAAGGAAACTACTCACCTTCTGACAACATAGGTTACTTCTGCAGGGTTTTGAACGGTAGGAGGAGCCGCAGTTCAAATTCTTGTGTCTGGCTTCTTTCAACTCGGAGATTCCTCTGATGCAGTGTAAGAACTTTGTTTTTATGCTGTAGAGAATTCCGGTATTACGAATGGACCACAACGTATTCATCCACTCTAGTCGTGACAAACATTTTGGTTGTTTCCAAAAGGGAGAAATGTGCTGCGATGAATAATGCTTCTGCTATGGTCTGACTGTGTCCCCCCAGAATAATATGTTGGAAACTTAATGCCCAAGTGATGGTATTAGGAGGTAGGGCCTTTGGGAGGTGATTGGGTTGTGAGAGCGGAGCACAAATGAATGAGATTCACGCCCTTCTAAAAGAGGTCCCTGAGGGCTAGCTTGTCCCTTCCACCATGTGGGGGC